GTACAAACCAATCTACCCAGAAGCTCATCCTTGCATCACCTAGTTAGGCATTTCCACCCTTAGTTTCAACACTGTTTGAATGTAACCTTATCTCTGAGCCTCTAATGCTAATTACTCTCTTATCTGCCTTTTTGCAGCCCCTGTTATAGATGATGTCAACTATGGTGCCTGTTTGACTGATATTTCTGTCCAGCTTTTCTGCTTGGATGCATTAAATGCTGTACTGCAAACTAATCCAGTGCAGACACATATATTCCTCCAGGCTGAGGCTCACACTGATGCTCAATTTGTCCCTGGGAGTGAGGGTGAAAGGTGGAGGGGCGGTGAGGATGGGAGGAAGAGGAAACCTCTCCTTGGCCGTGCATGGATAGATGGGGCAAGCAATGCCTCCAGGAGGAAAGAAGAGGGTGGTCAAGGGGCAAAGAAACCTGTCACCACCTTGTGACTAAATCCAAAATGAAGGGTTGAATTGAAAACACATATTAATCCACCAAATTAACTTGTCAAGCTGCTGGGAGGTGGGTCACCTCCTTCCCAGATGTTTGTGTGCACGGTGTCAGGGAGGGAGGAGATGCTTGGCAAAACACTGGGAGGCCAAATAATTCCATGGCCCACCCATGGGCAGCTGCACCCCTTTGCCAGCCGAGGCCCGGCCGGGAGCTGTGGGGTGCAGAGGGATGGGCTGCAGAGCATTTCTCATTTGCATAGCAAAATCAGCTCTAGCTGAATCCCTGAGCTCCCCTGGACATGCTCAGAGAGGGCACAAAGCCAGCTGTGGCCCGTCCCAGTTGGGAGTAAAACAGCAGTCATCCCACCAGGAGCTCTTCAGGTCCAGGGAGCTTCTGAACTCTCTTTTAAAACCAGCATTGCACTTTGAATTTCATCTCTGGTTTACTTTTATCGGACACGACATCGCAAATCTCAGGCTGAGACTCAGGTCAGACCCACCACTCCACGCTAGTCAAATCGGCTATTTTCCTAACCAGCTCAGAGCAGAGGTCTGCAGGTCCCCTTTGCATGCTGCTTTCCATGTTCTCAGGTTTTAAGTCATCCCAGAGAGGCCACAAAATACGAAATGCAAAAAGGAGAAGAGGAAGAGCTTTGTTATCTGTGTCAGAAGGGAGAAACCGGAGGATTTAAGGGTGCTGCCATAGACTTTTCCAGGTCTACAAAGGCTCCCACACTGCTGGGAGGTCAGTCTGGTCACAGGGTAACTCTAGTTGGACAGGGCCATGGGTATTCACCCCTCCCAGCCTCCTCGAGTCCTGTACTGCATTCCCCTTCGAAGCGAGAGAAAAACTCTTCTCCATGGTGGTAAATGGGATCTGGCACCCCATGACTGGACAAGAGGCAATGGGCACAAACCCAAAATGCAGCAAATTCCATTTAAACAAAAGGAAATACTTACTTACTTTGAAGGTGATAGAACAGGCTGCACAGAGAGATTGTGGCACCTCCATCCATGCAGATCCTACAAGTCAACTAGATGTGTCCCTGGCATGCTCTCAGCAGGGGGGTTGGACCAGATGACCTCCAGAGGTCCCTTCCCACCAGCTCTGCTAGGATTGTGCACCTTTCTGTGGGATTGGGAAAAGAGAGGGTCACTCACAGACTTTAGCAGCTCTTTGTCTCTCAGGGCTGGTGTGATGCCTGACCTACGGACCAGAAGTGTCTGACATGCTCAGGGATCCTCACTTGCCAAGAGACCATGAAAAAGCAGGGCTGACTGCAAAGACAACTTCCCCAATCTTTGACTCCTGATGGGAATTGTGACCACTTTCCTGGCCCTCCTCTCTGTATCCTATGTTGACTAGGATACACAAAGCCCTCCCCGACTCCCTGGCTTGGTGTCTGTGTTGGCACCCAGGTGCAGGGCCCCATGCTGGGAGGGACCTGGGTATGTATCATCTCTCCCAGGGCCTGGTTTCCAAAGCACGAGCAGGCAGGATCGTGGGAGGAATCACTTGCTTTGCCTTCTCTTGCAAATCGGTTGGAGTGAGCTTTCTGTTGGCAAGCTCACCAAAACAAGGTCCTCCCTAGTAAAGCAACACAGAAAGACAGACCCAGGCATTGGCTTCTATGGGCTCCGTTTCGAATCCCACTGACTTATTGTTGGCCTCAGTGAGAACTGCCAGCGCTGTAAACCAAGCCGGCTCAGACCCCTCATTCATGTTTAATGAAAGGCAGAGTTTTCCTGGAGATCAAAAAGCTCTCTGCTTTTTACGAGGTTGATTCATGCAGGCTTTGATGTGAAGTGCCCTTCGAAAAGCCACTCGCCAGGTGAACGGGAAAGCCAGCCTGAGCTCTTAGCTAGCAATAAGCCTCATCTATATTCATGCAGCCAAATCTCTCCCCGTTTGATGAGACCATGCAATTAACCTCTCCGCAGCAGGCAGAGGCTAAGAATGCCCAGGCGTTGCCCACGTGCTTTGTGCTCACCTCTGTGGTGGCAGCTCAGGGTGAACTTGGCATTATCAACTGAGCCCCAGGGCTGGCGTGGGGGAGATGTCAGAAACTGCAGCTCTGACTAATGGTCAAAACACCTGGTTTGGCTTCCTACCTCTGCTGTTGACGCACTGCAAAACCTTGAGGAAAAGCATCTCCTGCATGCCACCCACCAACGTACAGCTTGCCTTGGTGATGTGTCTCACAGCCACCAATGCAGCCGTGCTGCTGCCCAGGTGTATCTTGATACCCATGTCAGCAGCACAGGCAGTGCCTGGACCGGAGGGACTGAGCACTGTGCCGGTACTCGATGCCGCAACCATCTGTTTTATGGCCACTCGTAGTCCTGGAATTCCCCATCTTTTGGCCAATTTGAGGGAGCAACGTCAAAATGCGTCAAAGTTGCTTTGTGAACTGGGGATAGAGATGCAGGAGAGCACCAACAACACAATCCACTTCTTTTAGGTTTGTGCTGTAGGAGCTAAGTCTGGCCCAGCCACAGCTATCATATCTCATTAGTGTTTGTCTCAGTTCTGGCAAGCTGGGGCGGAATCTGTCTGGTCGGCTCTGTGCTGGCAAATGTGCACAGGATCTCTGCACCGGAAAGCCCCCGGGTCTGTAGGGCTGACAGCAACGAGCTGAGCCGTGCCCTTGTGAAAGGGGAGAGGGATGGAAATGATGGGGCAGCTTTGCACCCCAGTGTCAACACGAGGGACATGTCCACCACAGATCTGAGCTGGCTCTGCCTGGGCTGCTCCTGGTCACAAAGAGCAGAGAGCGCAATGCAGGTATTCAGGTCTGCTTGGGTCCAGATCGCCTGGTGTTGCTACTGAATTAACAAGCCCAGGTAAAGCGGCATGGCTAAACTGTCAGCAGTCCTGCGCTGTACGGACCGGCCCGCGCAGCACCCGGCTAGCTCAGTCCTCCCTGCACCGTGCACTGTTGCCTGGGCAATGTGCCCTTAAACACCTTTGCCTCAGGTCAAGGCATATGGCCAAATCCCAGCCTCGGCCTCTCCTGCTAAATGGATGCACGTCGCTGGCTCAGCTGGTGCTTCCTCTGCCCTTCTCATCAGGATTTGAGTGACCTTCAGAGGAGCAGCAGCTCCACTGCTGAGGAGCACCGGGGGCTGCTGGTACCCGCCAGCCTGATGGGCAGGAAGGGTTCTGCACAGTCCATGCCCGCAGGTGATGTGGCACCGCTGGGAAACACGGTCCCTCGGGGGACAGCAGGGGACCAGGGAGGTCACTGGCAAGGATTTACACATCGTCCTTGTATTCCAAATTCCTATACATCTCAAATTTATCAAGGGGCTGGGATTATACCCACAAGAGGCAGCTGCAAGAAAATCATTAAGCCTCCACCGCTGCCATTGAGAGCAAAGGGCACTCAAGCCCTTCAGAAATGCTCATTGAAAGTGGGTGAAAAGAAGAAATCTCAGGGGAAAACCTGAATCTCAGAGCTCTGCTGAGCAGGGAGGATCTCCTGAGAAAGCAGGGGCACTCAGGGTTCGGATGCTTTCAGCAGGGACCGGCTGTGGTGCCGGCGGCCCCCGCCTGTGGTGCGGGGTTCATCCCCTGTGCCCCTGTTCCTGCAGCCCTCTCTCCTTCCTCTGCCTGCTTTTCTCCAGCCAGGAAAAGCACCACGTGCCTCCGGATGTCACCAGACTATGGGAGCCAGGGTTTGAAGGATATTTTAGCAAGCCCCGAGGGCACAGGGCTGTGAAAACCAAGGAACTACAAGTGTCATCTTGTAAGTCTGGCTGAAACACAGACATTTGTAGGATGGAGGGCAGCGAGTAACAGACTTTGACAGTACAGATACAACATCCCAGAGCACCGAGAGCTTTATCCCTCCTTCCTCTGCCTTTCCTTTTCTCTTCCCTTCCCTCTGCAGAATGAAACAGAGAAAAGGCATTTCCCAGTGAAGCAGAAGCAGGTACAGACCAGGGAGCCGGCAGACCAGTCAGGCGCTTGCCTGCGCTGCTGCTGGGGCGATGCAGGCGCGGAGGCGGGGGGGAAGCCCTGGAGCCCCCCTTCCCCCTGTGGGCCGGCACCGCAGAGGTGGGGCGTCCTCTTCGGCCCTGGGAGGAGCACCCAGGACCAAATGCAGCACGCCTGCATTTGCAGACACGTTCACAGAGGCCGACCAGCCAACTCCCCTTTCTGCCCAGGGCACAGATTGCTCTGGGCAGGGCACAGCCATGGTAACACCGGCACCCTCCAGCCGAGGGGACGGGTGACTGGGAGACTGCAGAAATGGGGAGGTGGGGAAGAACGAAGCCAGGTCTAGCAAACCAGAAACAACCCAGGTCCCACAGACACAAAGAAGAGCGGGAGGAAGCAAACTCCGAGTTTCTGCAAGCAGCAAAACCAGCAGAAAAAAAATGTTTTAATTTTCTGCTTTAAATATTGGGGCTGTAAGAGTGCATGAATAAATCGGGGAACTGCATAGAGACTTGTTGATACCTGTCTTTGAAGGGGGAGGCTGAAAGAATGAAGTAAACCGAGCCACAGCTTGGACCCCGGTGGGGGGAGGGATCACATCAAGGAAAGATGGACAAGTTTCGGATGATCTTCCAGTTTCTCCAGTCCAACCAGGAGTCCTTCATGAACGGTATCTGCGGGATTATGGCCCTCGCCAGCGCCCAGATGTACGCAGCCTTTGATTTCAACTGCCCATGCCTGCCGCGCTACAACCTGGCCTACGGGCTGGGCATCCTCCTGGTGCCCCCCCTCATCTTGTTCCTGCTGGGTTTTGTGCTGAACAACAACGTCTCCATGCTGGCGGAGGAGTGGAGGCGACCCCACGGCCAGCGAGGGAAGGACCCGGCCGTCCTGCGCTACATGTTCTGCTCCATGGCGCAGCGGGCCATGATCGCCCCGGCCGTCTGGGTCTCGGTGACGCTGCTGGACGGCAAGTGCATCACCTGCGCCTTCTGCACCTCGGTGCCCGTGGAGACCCTGGGCAATGCCAGCCACCCCGGCCTCTCCCAAGGGGAGATGAACCAGGTCCTCGCCCGCATCCCCTGCAAGGAGATCTACGACGGACAGGAGATCATTGCCGCCGAAGTGGCCGTCAGGTACCTGCGCTGCATCTCACAGGTAAGAGGCACCACGGCTGTGCCTTTGCTAGTGGTTTAGGGTTAGGCACTGCCAGCATTAGCTCATCCCTCAAGGGAATCTCCTTGCTGAAATCAAGCTGCAGGAGGAGAGACTGGTGATTGCGCAGGGGTACAAGGGGTTCAAACTCGGCGCTGGGGAGTTACGCCTCCAGCGGGGTGCAGAGACCGAAGCTGTACGTGGTCCTGGTAACGCAGTCCCTCCTCTTGCCCGGGCAGCCTGGGGCTGCGGGGCAGCCACACGCTGCCAAGCCGTATGCAGAGATTTATTTAGAGCAAGTTCGGAAGGGGCTGACGTGGATGTCACACAGTGGCTGGTGGGCTGTCACTCCCTCCTGTAACCCACCGGGTGCCCACGGTTGCTCTTGCTGTTTATTACAATGCGTGCAAGCGATGGGCTGATAACCATCTATGCCACTTGCCTCTGCCGCTTGCACGGAAGCAGCCAGCGTGTGTTTATTAAAGATCCCAGGGAACCACAAATGAAGAATTGCCACTAACTGTTTCTCCTGTGCTTAATTCCTCCCAAGCCCTCTGCTTCTGGCCACATGGGAGACGGGATGGTCTGACCCACTCTGGTCACTCATGTACTCCTGTTTAAAAGCAGCTCCTCTCCCTGACCTCCTGTGGGCAGGCAGGAATTATCCCCAGTTTAAGAGAAACAGAGGCATAGGGACTTCTCCAAAGACAGAAAGCAGATTTTCCTGGGTAACACTGGTTGCTGCAAAACAAGAGGTGCCACCCAGAACACCCCCCTCCCAGGTGCTCTTTCAGGGGGCTGCATTTACAGCGGGGTTCACCCTCAGGAGCTCTGCCTGCACAGCCCGGCGGCTGCCTGAGCTGAGGCCAATGGTGAAACTGGTCCTGGCTCTGCCCTCATCTCACCCTTCCCGTCAGACCCCATTAACAGGGGAGCCTGTCGCCGCTGCTCACCCATGATAGATGTTACTAAGTCCAACAGCTTGGAAAAAACGTCAGACAGCTGCAGAAACCCGGGGATTATCTGGAACGACATTAGCTGTGAGTCGGAGGACACAGACTATCCCAGACCCGGGTGAGGCACGGCTGTATCGGAGGCAGGACCGAGGGCTGGGCGCAGGATTCGGTCTGGTGTTATTTATGGTCACTGCCTGCGGATGCCGTACACAGCAAGAAGCAGAGAGGTGCTGCCTACATGGGTGCATTGAACAAAATCGCAGTGCAGATGCATCTACATGGTGCGCAGGGTCTCCTAGTCCAGCATTTGCAATGTAAATGCAGCCAAATGTCAAACAGCCCAAAGTGGAGCCAGGCTGAGTAATATTTTCAAATATTTAAATCTCCAAACTTCTGAAATGTTAGTATTTCTGTAAATTCATACACAATGACCTGAAATATTTTTCTGGCATATAGAAGGTAACAAGATGTAATTATGCATAGTTGAACTCAGGGTACTTTTCCCATTGTCCATTCTGCCAAAAATGTGAATTGCTTTTCCCTTTGTCCTCTTTCTCATTCTTTTTTATTTCTTGAATAAAACCACTGCTGTAAACCCCTTGCCCCCACATCTTTGCTGCTGCCATTACTCATGTCGTATTACTGGTAAATTTGTGTTGGGTGTGTTGAGCCGAGTGAGATCCGATGCCCCGCGCAGGCGGTGTGAGAACCGGGGGCTCCCACCAGGGGGTGGGAAGCGCTGGGCGCGTGCTTCCGCCTGCCTGTGACGGCTCCGGTTGCCCCCTCGTCCCTGCAGGCTCTGGGCTGGTGCTTTGTGCTGCTGATGACCGCGCTGGCTTTCTTGGTCAGATCCCTCCGGCCCTGCTTCACACAAGCTGCCTTCCTGAAGAGCAGGTACTGGTCCCACTACATCGACATCGAGCGCAAGCTGTTCGACGAGACGTGTGCGGAGCACGCCAGGAGCTTTGCCAAGGTCTGCATCCAGCAGTTCTTCGAGGGCGTGAGCACGGACCTGGCGGCCGCTCGCTG